CCTTTCCATGACGTAAAACATACGGGTACTTGTAAAATGGAAGAATAAAGAGTTTCCCCTTTCCATGACGTAAAACATACAGGTACTTGTAAAATGGAAGAATAAAGAGTTACCCCTTTCCATGACGTAAAACATATAAGTACTTGTAAAATGGAAGAGTAAAGAGTTACCCCTTTCCATGACGTAAAACATTCAGGTACTTGTAAAATGGAAGAATAAAGAGTTACGCCTTTCCATGACGTAAAACATACAGGTACTTGTAAAATGGAAAAAGCACACCTTATTATCACCACTGAATGTAAGTTCACTACGTATATAGTTCAATATTTGTTATATAGAAGAGATAACGGCATCCAGCTCGTTAGATTGCTTGACGTGTAACTAGTCCGAATATCACGTGCAGACTGACACCCACGTTCATGTTTTGTCTGCAACACAATGTGTGGCACCCTGAATATGGAGAACCAGTTATAGATATTATCATTATAGCATTTGATTATTCAGAAATGTAAAGCTATAATTGAGATAGGAATCTAACGGGATACAGGATGTAGGTTGTAGGTTTGAACATGTTAACATGAGTGTTATGTAACCAGTCGGGTATCGGCAAGGGAATTAATACATGCTAAATGTATTTCTTGTCGGAGTAAAGGTAATGTTTGTTTTACCATTATTGAAATTCAGTGTTGTAATGTCAAATTAGAATCTGGCGTCTGCATCAATATTGGTGTGAGGTCTTCGTACCTCGTACCCAGTCAACACACTGCACGGAGACATGTCGGTTAGTCCACTGTTCCCATCCCCATGACAAAATCTAGGTGCAACAAGTATGCAGTGTCTTATTGAAGGGTTAGAAAGATAAAGCTTTGTGTTTCTATTTTAGCATCTCTAATATATATATATTAAGTTTCTGTTTCACTTGCTTCTTATTTTTTTTATTTTTTTTTAGAAAAATAGAACATAGATATGAGTCAATTCTGAGATTAAGTATAGTAGGTCATCATATTACAAACTTAATTAAGTTTTTTTTTCATTTATCCCCGAAATTTTGATTTGGTGGAGATTAAGAATAAAATTTCAGAGATTTTAAAGATTATTTATTATAGAACTTCTGAACTATTAAATACCAAATTGTTGCACGTGTACTGTGTTCTCTGAATGCGTGGTGAGATTAAGAAACATAAAGAAGTCTTCTTTTTCATGGAATACTCAAACTTAATAAGGAAGACATGTTGTGGTAAACAGTATAATGCCCTACGTGTATTTCACAGTAAAGCGTTAACGTCTCAATCTACTGTATGTTTTTGTCAATATGAGTGAAGTGAAAAGTTTGAGGGCAGTCTGTATATATATGGGCATTTCTGGACGTGTATTGGGTTATACACGAGCAAATATTGGTTTATTGGCTGGAGTGAAGATCAAATAAGTTTGAATATCTACGTGAAAACATAGATTATAAATACTAAAGCACATTCTGCTTGACCAAGTACTCAAATACAGTTGTCTTCCCGATCATGACTCGTGCAATTTCTGCTACAATTCTATTCGTATTCTTGTTGGTGCAGATAAAATATTGATACCTCATATTTCTGCAAGAGCTTAAATTAAGTATCACAATTTTAGAAATCATCTTCAGAATAATGATCACTTTAATAAAAACAATGGTAGAATGAAATCCATTTTCAAAGAAACTCAACCTTACTGTTATAAACGGAAGGCAGGCAAACCTGGAGATAAAAGCCTGGAGAGTGTTTTATATATTAGAATCTGAGCTTCTCTTCCTGCTTTGCATTAAGGATTATGATTGATTATGTGATGAAGGCCTAGAGATGTCTGACTGTCACGGTCTGTCCGTCCTCTGAACAAATCCATTCTTCAAACCGAATATTCCGTAGTGCGTCAATTATTCATTTTGTATGTTAGCTGTTTTATATGTGTGCTGGCTGCAGGCGCCCGATATAATCCGGACGATTCTAAGCAGGGGGTCTTATTCTATTCTTTTTACAAGGTATCTGATATTGATCGCTGATACGCTGGTGAACCGCTGTCCGAGTCATTAATGGTCTCTGGAGATAATTTATAATATAGACAAGCCATCGTAAACAAAACTTTAGTGCTTATACTGTATTAGAATAAAGATTAACTTTACGGGTTGGTATTAAAAAAAGGTAGACATTTGGCAAAAGTTTGCAGACATATGTAAATGGATGAACACTATTCTATTCCCTGACAAAAGTAAAGTGTACTTCTGAATGGTAGTAACTTCTGATGCGTCAAAAGTTAAATATCCATGTTGTTCGATACAACTACGTCAATACGTAAAGACAAAAGGTATACTCCGTTAAGAATAGACAACAATCGCAAATGAAAGAACATTAACACAGGAAAGACGGAAACCTCTACAAAAAAAATCCGAATCCAGGTGTTCCAAAAGAGTAAGCGTTTCTTGCATCACATGTTTACTTATATTTTACTGACGAATAACAAAAATATTTATTGTCTTTTTGTTTCTTATGTATTTCTCAAGCTAGTATTTAACAATTAAAAGTATGAAGAGTATTTTTTTAACATTACTGTATAAATTGATGCTGGGCCAAAGTATTATAAATGACGAACGACTTCACCATAAGATTGTAGAGTAGGATCATTAAGTATACTTGGTTATAAATACTTATATATATATCGTATATTACATATACATATTTAATTGAGCCGCATATTTTACGAAAGTTAACGTTCATGTCCTATGTTGTAGTGTGTGTTGCCGGTGAAGATCGAGCGGGTTATACACGTGTAAACACGTGAATGGCAGTCACAGTAACACCTCTGTGTGTGTGACCCCCTCTCTCACCGGGTGCTCCTACACCAAGCAGATCACAATGCCACTTCGCATCAGCGTAATACGTACGCCGGCAAAGAAAACGGCGTCAAGATCGTACGGAAGGACGATTCGAGTGAACGTTTCTGGTAAAACCTCCCGAGATGGCATGTCACTCGGCCGTCTGTGAGTGCAAACAATGCCCAACCGCCGGCCGACCTCGGCTTTATGAGGTACCGGGCATGTCTGTAATGCCTGGATGAAAGGACCGCCATATTCTCAGGAATCCGAGACATTTCTATGTATGTTTTATTTTCTCGTTTTAACAGGTGTCATAAATAAAAAGTTTTTTGGCTTCTAATTCTGTGTTACTGGCACCAAAACTACACAATGAGAACGGCTACGTTGTTTTTTACAACGAGAGAATGATGTTATTGTGAATTAATTAGAAAAAAATGTGTTTAACAATATCATAAGCGATAAACGACCTTCAACATCATGCAACGTCGAAAATACCGGCAACAGTAACTGTGTGATTAACCTGTGTCTTTGTCATCATTACGTCTGCAATAGATATAGCTCTTTAAGACACGCTAAAGACTAGCCCGGAAGAATATTTTATCATAAAACAAGCCTTAAAAACAGTGTAAAAATATTCATGTGCGGTAGGTCGGAAACAGGTTGAGCAGGAGAAGGCCAGCTACGATAAAAAGGTCGCATTGTGTGTAACGTACTAGCGTGATGAATGGGCCTAATGGCAAAGTATACAACAGATACAGATTTAACACTTCATTAACAATCCACATAGCTTCAGATAACATATAAGAATTCATAATCTATTTTACTTCGGTTTTATTTTCGTACGGTTTGATTTAATGTGTGAACCAGACGCCTTCACTTTGTGAGTCTTGCATATCTAATGACATAAATTATCTTGTTAAGTACATAAAATCCCGCCTCACAATCTCGGTACCATACTGTCTGTAACGATTGTATTCCAGTCCCATTCTTAGAGCCCTCATTGATGACTTCATTAAAGGAAATGATATCTGTCGAGTTCTAAAAGAATGGTATTAGATCTACAAATAACTAAAGCTGCTATCCAATTATGGGTATAATATCTTTCAAAGCGAACCAAAATATGGCGTAATCAAGCATCGGATTTCTGTTCACGGAGATTTACATAAATCTAATCTAAACGATAATCTCATTAAACCCTAGACCGCGTACCTTTTTGACGCAAAAACTCTTCATATGCAAGTCTCAAGGTTGTATGTTAAATTTCGATATACAAACAAGGATACACCATCGTACACTGCACAACATTCAAGATACATTGAAAACATTAATATCAATTTGATTTATATTGAAATGACTAATTATGCGCATTTGTTACTAAACTAAAATTGAACTCTCTTTGATTCAAAAAATGATTACGTTAACGGTCAGTAAAGCAAATTTATAAAATGCAAAAAAACAAAACGCATTTTTTTAAAATGTACACTGTAGAAAGTTTACATATATTATGTATACTCTTTTTGCTAAGCAGGCGATTATTTTTTAACAAATCAATAGACATGCAATCAAATTGATCTTAAACATATTCACGATTTCTCCTACGCGTTAAGAATCGTTAGCTAATAAGGTTTCTTTAAACAGGACACTGGTAATTGAGAGACGTTCATTCAATCCATCTCACTCTTTCACTCAGCTTGATATAGAGAATCTATTATATCACAATAACAATGATGTATCAAAAAACGTCACTACTGAATTCAAACGAGACGACAAAAAAATGGAACAGCGTAAAAAGCAAAACGGAAGGGAAGGCATGATGAACATACCAAAGTTTGATAAAAAAAAAGGGGGGGGGGGGGGAACAAAACAACATACGTGACCTTATTACAATACAAGTACCGTGTCCAGTCAGAATAGGAGGTAATGGTTCTGGTAATCCAATACCTTCTCCATCCTAGTTTTGGTGATCACTTATATAATACCTTTGTGCATTCATTGTCACTTTCCCTACTCGGTGCATGTTTGACGTCGGGCTGAAATATTCGGCCATGTTTTAGCATTTAAACGTTCTTTAACCAACGAGACATTGTACTTACCCTCCTCCAGGCGTGTTTATAGTTGTTCGATCCAACAAACATAACATTCATGTCTGTAACAAACTCACCCTAAACAGTGCATGTTGACCGTTCCTCTGGCCAACATAAAGTTTTAGCGTCCCTGCCGAAGAACTCCTGTCCACCGTTTTTATCACTCTTTCGTATATTCTATTGCAATCCACAAATAGTTTGACATGAGTCCCCGACAAAGAAAGTGCGAGTTTATGCCACTGGTTGTCGGCAAGTCGGTATGGGAATGTTTCGACAAGTGTTTGTTGGTCGTGAGTGTAATGGAAGCGGATCTCATCCCTCCGTCCACTGCTCTCGATTTCTAAAAATCTGAAATTGAGGAAAAACAAATATAGAAAAATATATAGAAATACAGACATATAAGGGACAAAGAAAGGTCGTTGGAGTTGAAGCGTGATCCACCTCTATACAACATTCCGAACATTCTATTATATTTTTACAAGACACTATGTGACCTAGAACAACACATTGAGACAAACAGACATTGTATGTGCATAGTGGGACTCATCGAATACATTGATTCGGCATAAGTGCTTTGTAATAAGATCATATTTGGAGTCATATCTAAAAAAAACTTTACACGCATCATGACAAATGCAACTGCATTTGTGAATATTGCTCACAGTGACATAAAACAACTTCAATAGTTCTTGTTTATTTATGTTGACTATTTCATATAGTACGTACAAGCCCGATCAGACACCATTTTATCGACGTAAAAGAGGATATCTTCCTGTCAACGTGAACATAATAAAAACATTCTAACGACATTGTCACTTGGATAGGGTTTTACGTCCTTGCCATACTGTCCATTTCAAAACATGTCAAAAAATAAATCTTCACAATCTCAGCATAATCTTACCACCTTTTGTACAAACAGAAATTGCGGGCGCAATTCGAAAAGAAATGTCCCATCGAAACAAACTATCGTTGAAATTGTCCGATGTACAGAATTTTCTTTTACATGTAGTTTTTTGGGGATTTGTTTTTTACCTCACAAGTTTCAATAGCAAGAAAGAAAAGTAAGAGAAAAATCTTTATGTATTTTTTTACCGTCAAATGGTCGATAAGTCAACGAACCGACGCTAGCTTCATTTCCTTATTGGACATTTTGTTATCCGATACGTCCCAATCTTACTACACATTACCGGCTAAACCTTACCAACGCCAAAGAGCACGAATAGAAAGAATCCGCTAATGAAGGTGTTTTTTCCAAAGGATAATGCCCATTTTATGACCCAATCTTTGAAAAACTTAGCGGATTTATTTTCCCAGTGACTAGACAATCCAGTATGAAGCCCGATTACATTCAATATCATTACCTTAAGGTTCTCTTTACACATTCCATTAAACAAGATATGTACAATCACACAGGATCGCCTCAAATTGCTTCCATTCCCTTAGTCTAACTGCTATTTCCAGATGTCCCTTAGGCGATAAAATACATTATAGAAAAAACCCACATCCCAATCTTTCTTCATAGTCTACGTTAAGTATAACAAACTCTATTCTTGGTCTATTGTTTTCCTTTGATCAAATTCTCTGTCGAATTGCTCTTTTGATATGTTCATATTACTATGCAGACTACTGTGACTCGGTTCACAGCGAATCTGCTTTATAGATGCCACCTCTTTTACATCCAGGTAAAGCTTCGCATACTCTGTGGTCTCGAACTGGACCGTCTATATACCCCGGAGGTGGTCGTTTTCTGTTGTGGCCTGGTGGACTATACTCAGCCTAAAAGTGGAATATTTAGTATGTGGCCTGTTAGTGGACTACACTTTAGCCTGGAGGTGTACTATTTATAATGAGGCCTGAAAGTGGACACTTCTCAGCCTAAAAGTAGAATATTTATAATGTGGCTTGGTAGTGGACTATACTGTAGCCTGGAGGTGGACTATCTATAATATGGCCTGGTAGTGGATTATACTCAGCCTGGAGGTGGACTATTTATAATGGGGACTCGTAATGGACTGTACTGTAGCCTGGAGATGGACTATTTATAATATGGCCTGGTAGTGATATTATACTCAGCCTGGAGGTGGACTATTTATAATGGGGACTCGTAATGGACTGTACTGTAGCCTGAAGATGGACTGTTTATAATATGGTCTGGTAGTGGATTATACTACAGCCCCGAGGTGGACTCACTATACTGCAGCCTGAAAGTTGGATTATTCATAAACAGGCCAGGAAGTGGACTATACTTCAGCCCCGAGGTGAATTATTTATACACAAGCCTCGAATTGGACTATACTGCAGCCCCGAGGTGAACTATTTATAAACAGGCCTGGATGTGGACTAGACTCGGTCTGTAGGTGGACTATATATAATGAGGCCTGGATGTGGACTAGACTCAGTCTGTAGGTGGACTATATATAATGAGGCCTGGATGTGGACTAGACTCAGTCTGTAGGTGGACTATATATAATGAGGCCTGGATGTGGACTAGACTCAGTCTGTAGGTGGACTATATATAATGAGGCCTGGATGTGGACTAGACTCAGTCTGTAGGTGGACTATATATAATGAGGCCTGGATGTGGACTAGACTCACTCTGTCGGTGGACTATTTATAATGAGGCCTAGAATTGGACTACTTAGTATTAACATTGTGGCTTAGAAGTGGACCATTTTTTTTTTGCTTTGAAACGAGGATTAACTGACGTGAGATAATATACAACCCGGTAAATAGTAACCGAACATTAAAATTGATTGCTGTAATATATTGCCTTAAAATTGTCGTTATATGCGAGAAAAGAAACAAAATAGCCGAGAACATTCCCACTCGTATTGATAAATAAAAGCCATACTGTTAACAATGTATGGCATAGAGACGCTTACATCTCGTTCTCCGTATTTTAACGGTTTCCATAATCCACACTCCTAAGTTATGATAGTTCAAACGTCTAACAGATTTTTTTTTGGTAATTTTCCGTTCGTAGAAATTCAACACAAGAACCATTACAACCTGCCTCCCTGCCATAACTAGCAGCGTTCATGTCTGGTATGCTTGGCTCCTAATGAAGTAAAACAACATTTTTTAAATTTCCACCAATAAATGGAAATATTACGTAACTCCAACCTGAACCTTTTTCTAGAAAAAAGTTGCTCTGGAGTTTCAGTAAACAAGCATCGCAGCGTGAGTTATAATTACATCTTTGCGTGGTGATATAATTAATGAGTTCCACTTAAACTTTGTAAATGCTGTTATTAGTCATCCCAAGTTTATATTTTTATCCAGTCACCACTCCAGTCGAGAAGCACACCGAGAGCTGCTAATTGTACATTCAATTTTTTTTCTGAAAATTTAATTACGGCAATTTTACACATTACCGTCGCATCGTTTATTGCCGTTTTTATTTTTTGACGTGCAGTTGTTCAACTAAAAATCGATATCTAATGAATTATGATTAAAATATTTTCTGCTTCTTCATGCTACATTGCCAAAAAAATTAGAGAAATTTGAAAAAATGGTAAAACGGCAAAACACGATTTTCTTAAATGTTTTTGACATGAATTGCGCAGCCATGGTTTTCGACCGGATTTGCCTCTGATCAATATACGCGGATGACGTTTTACGGTCATTATTACTCAATTCCCAACTATGAATGACAGTGTTTACTATTTTAATACTATTTCACTTTGCTCGTTGCCGACATACTTTTCTGATTTGACGTCTGACATTAAAGTGGGTACTAAATGCAATGCTTTAAACAGTTACAGTTCGGAAGCAACAAGTTTTTTTTTCTGTGTATATTATTTTTCTTTTATTTATTTTGTGCCTTTCCTTGATTTTAGTCTGTTGTTTCCTATCGAATTCGAGTTTCGATTATATCCTTTTGTGTTAACTTTGCGGAATTATTTTTAAAATTCACAGCATAAAGCAATATTTATCTTTTTGTACAAGATTTTTTTTACTTTCTCTAAAAGAATCGACCCCGAAAGTTGACAACATTTAACAATTTTAACACTAGAACAGTTTAAAATCCATTTTGTCTGCCCTGTTTATTTCCCGACCGCTCCCGTATCTTCTGTACATATACAAAGTGTCTATCAAACAGAACTGATAAGACTCCAGATTTTAACCCACCCCATCGAATCATTGACTACCCCATGTCATTTTGTACGGGAGATATATTGGAGTTTGTCTGGACAAAAATAGCCTTCAGAGCTGTATGATGGCCGTCTTACTACCATTTTATGTATTAAGTTATATATGTTTGATTTCAATTGGGATAATATTTTGGCACTGCAAAGTTTATAATCTTAAGTGGGCTGTAAATGGGCTCTAGAAATAGCTGAGATGGCTTTCGCAAACTAATGACTTTTCATTCATATTTGAAATGCTTCCACCACATTTCCTGTGTAGTTCACACTTCTCCAATTATCTCGGCTTTTTATTTCGAGATTTGATTGATTCCTATTCCGTGCCGTAGCGATATTATGTAAAGGACAGTACCCTATCTCTTGAGAAACAGTTTGACGTCGATTATATACAGTTTTCCCGAGGAAAAATATATTTAAATACAGTTTTATATCTCCGTACAATCTGCCAATTTAACCCTAAAGTGTTAAACAGAATGGAGCGTAGACTGAAATTTATAAACAGCTCTTGCAATGATGTCGTAAAACTTAACATAGTTGTCGTAAAACTTAGTTTCTTGTCGTAGACACTAGTAAAGATGTCGTGAAACCTAGTTCAGATGTCGTAAAACCTAGTATAGATGTCGTACAATTTAGTATTCTTGTCGTAGACGCTAGTATAGATGTTGGTAAACTTTGTTTACTTGTCGTAAAACCTAGTATAGCTGTCGTAAAACCTAGTATAGCTGCCGTTATAGCTATCATAACTATTGTAAACCTACTTAATTGCCGTAAATCTGCATCGGTTGTTAATCTGGTAAGTTGTCGTAAATACTTGTACAGTTGTCATATAAGGTAGTATAGTTATCGTAAAAGTTTGTATAGATATAGTAAGACCAGGGAGTGTTGTCTTTTATATTTGTTTAGCTGCCGTAAAACTTTACAAAAACGTGTATCACTATCGTCACACCTGATATTGATGTCGGTAAATGTTGAAAACTGTTTTAAAACCTTGCAAAGTTGTCGTAAAACAATGTGTATCTGTCTTGAACGAAGCCGTCATTAAACTTTGCCACGCCTATTGGCTAGTGTTAACTGATGCAAGTATCATACTTTTTCTACACACTTGTGGATTTTAAAGCTATAAAATGAATAGTTCACCTTCAATCTAACATAATATCACAGCATACTATAGGGCTGTAACGATCTATCGCGATATTTTCAATACGGTGCGATATACAACATATTTATTCCGGATATTGGCGTTTCTGAACTGATTCTACTCATATCCCTTCCAACATGGCGAGTAACAGCTCCAGCTCGGCATGCACGTCAAAGACGTGAATTGTATGATTTTTTTTAAAATTCATGACCATTTTCGATCAAGTCTATTTCCAGTTGTAATACTGCCATTTATTATGTTTCGTGACCACAATATCGTGATACTTATCGTATCGTCATGTTTATGTATCGCTGCAGCCGTACTATAACAGTCTGACAAATCAGCGTTTTACGTCTTCCTTAGGCCTGACCCAACCGAGCTGACCACACTTCTGGGTCTCTGAATACCTTGACTGACGGCGAATTTAGGATACAAGACTATTGACCATGAATGCGGCCAGGTCACCATGAACAGTAGATGTGGTACTTGGCGCGGGGACAAATCTCATGTTTAGTCATGCTAGTTTCAATCTTTGTTGAAGACCCATTAATATCATGTGGATAGTGTGCCTAGTTTATACCATGGCTTCTGGACCAAGCATGCCATCAATTAGGTCAGGTGTACATTGTATACTTATAACAACATGGAAGTCAGTTTAGCCGTGACCTTCAGATAAATAGCCAGACGATATGGGAGACGTTTGTTATATTAGAAACACGGAATACAGTTTGGTATCGACCTGGCCGATCTTAGATGTTGTGTATGTACCAAAAGGAAATAGGTGTTGGCGGTTTTCCGAATGACCGATCGGACAGAAGTGCAAGCGCCGATCAGACGTCGATCGCCCTGGTGTTAACATGGCAACTCACATTCAAGGTTTTGTCTCGTGCCATCGTTGATCATTGTGTAGGAACTAATCTCATTCAGGGAAATTTATTAATTTGAATTCTACAGGCTGCATTTTACTTTATATAAAGGCCGGTATGGCGTTTGATCTATTTACAGATAAAGCAATGCTGGCCGAGATGAATATGACATTTGACCTCGGACCAAAAGAATTTCTTGCATACTCAGCATCACAGAACATGGTCAGTCGACGTGTTGTCATGTTCAAGGTTGTTTCATACAAACTTAGGTTGTACACAGCACAAAGTTATTCTTTGCTTAGCAAAATAAGTGATATCATCATGAACCATATAACATAACGTCAATTCATTGAATTCCAGAACTATATATAACCCAGATGTATTTGTGAATGTCCATGGCCCTATTTCCGGTTGCAGTATGACTTTGTTAGGTTAGCTAGCTTCACGTGAAGCTAGCTAGCTCCTACATTCATTGCTGAGAACTAGCCCATGAGCTGACATACGAGAAAAGATTTTTTGTGTGAAATAATTTGTTATCCTGACCTTGTTTTGCCAGAAATGTAGTTGTAAAGTATTGTTTGGATTGATTGATGACTTAATATGATTTCAACGGTCTTTCAACATAAAATCATAACTCAGGGTAAAATGTACCAGTAGAGAAAATGGAGTTACATTGCACAACATTTTATGACATCGTATGAGGCGTCTGACATTCTGCTACCACTCGCTCCCACCACTGGGTCGCGGGTTCGAGCGCTACGTGGGGCAGTCGCAGGATACTAGCCATAGGTCGGTGTTTTTTCTCCGGGAACTCCCACTTTCCTCCACCACCAAATCTTGGTACGTCCTTAAATGACCATAGCTGTTGATATGACGTAAAACACAAACAATCCAATCCAATCCAGACATCGTATGCAACAAGCCAAGGGCTGTAATATCGATGCGTATATTGCAGTTTTCAAAAATGTGTAACCGGGACATAACATATTGCTATGGCTATGGGTATCAGTACATAACAGGAAGTCCTAATGCCGTTATCGGGAAAATAAACTTTGCCTTACCTTATAACGTCTGAAGAAAATGCTATGATACTTCCAGCATCTCCAACTTCCTGTTTCACCGTTGCTAAAAAAGTTACTTCACTATTCTCACGTAAAATATGAAAAGCTTCTCTCAAAACAGTATTCGGTAAAGCTAAGTTCCGACTTGGATCTGTAAAATAGAAACATAACACGTGGTCAGAAATCGGTTTTAATAAATGTAGTATCAATGATAACCGTCTAGTGTATTAGTACTGTAATCAATATGATACGCCTAAAGGCTAGGTGTGCTTTGATAACGCAACCAGTTTAAACAACATTATAATTGGTAAAGGATAATTAAATAATGCACCATTTGATCACAAGTTATTTTTTTGCATCAAACCCCCATTACAATATACACCCACTGATGAGAATTGTACATTGTACCATAATGATACAGTGTCTTTTCAAAAGTAATCAAAACCTGAACTGTACTTTTATACAGCAGGGTCAGATGTCTATTATGTATGATATAATCCCAGTTTTACAAATATTTCTTAGCTTCAGTTTCAATTTTCCCTTTGTTTTTCTTTTGCATTTTTTTTTTAAATTTAAAACGTTCTGTGAAACCAAGGACTGATTAATGATCTAGTGTATGCAGAGATCAATAAAACCTAACTTTGCTAATCTTTGATCCATCAAAACCATTTATTGTTTGCTAATCTTTGATCCATCAATACCATTAATTCTTTGCTAATCCTGCAGTTATTTATTTTAATGCTTTTTCGATTTCAGTCCAAATTGTCTTTTCTGAAGTGTTGGTTCTTAGTCATTACTGGGTCAGGCGTTACTAATAAACTCCACGAGAGCTCTTAGCTATCTGAACAGCATACACAGTATCAAGTATGTAGAGGTGACTTTGGATAAGCCATAACACCAGAAAAGTTTTCTTTTAGAATTTTATCAGGAGAGAGAGGAACATTTCATTATAACCCGGAAATGTTGTGTGCAGTATCGCTCGTCCCGAGATGATACGGCCCGGCATTAAACGCGGGTTATGATTGCCGGAGGGCTGCGCTATTCCGAGTAAAACACTTGTTCGCCATGTCTGCTCAAGTCTATCTGGACCTTTTTTTGAATGGGGGTGGTACTCTACAAATTCCCAGGATATTAGCTCAATGAGTCAAACACATGGAAACTCGCTCTAATCGGTAATCACAAGCCGATGTATAAAATACACGGTAACGATAGTTTTATTACTAAAATTGGTAAACCGGAAGTTGGCATAGTTAAAAAAGTAACAGTTTTAATTAAACCATGGCTGAGATTGTTTTATGATGTAATTTGTGTTTCTATTGTTATGAAAATTCTTTGTTGACATCAAATTACTAAGGTTATTTTAAAAGTGCAATTAAACGTTGAACTGAATTACAATTACAATTATAAGAGTGCATAAATATATTCAACAATTAGATAATTTGAAACTGTCAGTTAAATAAATACAATAATTATTACATAAGGATGCGATATCAATTAAAAATAGAAAACATGTAACAATGAATTTGAAACTAAGTAAATGCTTCAAGAATAAGTTTCAATTAAAATGCTATTAGTAATTGCTCGTTTACATTTATTTTTGGGTTGTCTATGTCTGGGCCAAGTTATATCATACAGTCAGCCATGAATGAAAATCTGTTTTTCGCTTATCAGTCGCTCACGCAGCGGTGGCGGTTCGAGAATGTAACACTGTCGAGCGGTATTTATAGTACACGATCTCGGCACTGGCCCCACCACTACTTAATATTGCCCCGATTTAAAAAACCCACAAGAAAGGCAGTTATTAAACACATTATTAATTTAATTAATTATGACATCCTAAAATGAAAGTATCTAGTGTTCATGCAAAGCGTTGATTTCACAGCTATAAAAAGACGGCGTATAACTTATCTTGTGTCAAAATCTCGTTTGCCATGTTACATTAGGGTAAATATAGGCCTATAGGTATGTATACATGTTGCTAAAAGCGTACAAAAAGCAGGGATCCCCGAAATAGTTTCCTCTTCCAGACATTCATAAATTGATATGTTTTAAAGTACAGTTTGGATAGCATCATATTTCTCCTGTCTACACTCGTGTAATCTCGCATGATCTGGACCACCTTCCGTTAATTGGCAAAAGCGGCATGACCATTATTGTTTTAGCCTTCATTACAAGCCAAGTCAATCCAGCCCAACCAATTATGAATCAGATTTTTTTTTACGCAAAAAGCAAATGATTTTGTCAAGCACGAAATGTCTTCCTCTAAATACTGACACAGTGTATATGTCAACATGAAAACATTGTATTTTTCATGTCTGATTTCAATCGATTCCAGTCCCCTATTATAAGCAAAAATAAAATGGGGATTATGAAGGATAACATAATCACCAGCTGGTACACATAGATAATTTTATCCGATAGAATAGCTACAGTACCATTCATAATGATCAATTATCCATTTTTTTTTTTTTTTAAATTTAGTTTATGAATAATATAATAACTTATCCCATGATTTAAGACGGTGAGTCTTGTTGTAATAAATTCAGTTGAGTTTGCTCGGCTAAAGAAGTACATTATCGGACGAGTACACGAGCGAGGAGTACACGAGTAGTTTTTATAATAGGACTGGATGTGATTTTAACGACATTTAGATGGGAAATCTACTGTTTGTTTCTGAAAACAAAATGGGGTCAAGGCACTGACCACCTTACACTGGAATGGGATTACTTAAAAAAAATCTTTTGGAGGTTGGTTATTCCATTTCTTTGATAAGATTGTCATGCCTGCTGAAATACAAAGGTCTGTTTACAGGGCCTGGCCTAATGGCGCTCCCACACCAATCTGATAACTGTTTATCACGGGTAATTATCCTCTAACAGCCGACAAGTGGGGATGTAGGTGATGGCAATGTTAAAACACAGGTGCGTATACATACACACACACGCATATATATATATATATATAATGTCATTCCAAAAATACATTATAAGATAGCTTTTGTTCATTACCACTAAACGTGCTCAGACTACAGATCGGGGCCAAATCAGAACGAGGCACACGAAAAATGGCGTCGATTGATAATAGACATATCTTAGTATATCAAGAGACACATTCTTGTCTGAATCCCACGTGCATTCGCGTGATCTGAATCATGACAATAGCATGCCATCATGCTCCCTGCATGTACATAAAAAAGGAATATGATTGAAATAACTCGCTACCCAGTCTACCTGGACGTTACTGGCGTGTATGACCATACATCTTTGTTATTATAAAAAAAATACGAACCGAATTTACGAAAACACTCACTACCATAAAGCAGAGCTAGATCAATTGGTGTCTGCATATGAATATAAGTGAATGTTTCGTAATGTGAAACTCATACGGAAAAGAGACAAAGTAGCATGCATCCTTAACTAGAATGCCATCAGTGAACACTACATGGCAGCGTAGCATACACCCTTAAATATATTTCCATCAGTGTACACTACAGGACAGAGTAGCATGCACCCTTAAATATAATTCCATCAGTGTATACTACAGGACAGAGTAGCATGCACCACTGCAGGTCGGGGATCGAGAAAAAATACACCTGCTGTTGCCCTGAGCATGTACCGTAAGAGGCGACTAATGTGGGAACACCCTGCAGAATTGGGGATTCGCTTTGGTGCCCTCTACTTGGGGACACGAAAGCAACCAAAATAAATCTGCTGCACCCATTGCAATATTTGGGATCTGTATATTTCTCTTTACTTCCAACTACTTTAAATTTCCTAGCGCATTTCTTGGCAACACCTCACTTTTGGCTATGGGGTTTTGTCCCCAGGCCGGGCATACCAAAGTCCCTAAAGATGGTGTCTTTGCTTGACGTTTAGCCTTTAGGGGAATGACAACAGCTGGTTCACCTGTTGTCAGTATAATGTGACCAGATGGAATGCTGTGCTGTGCGTCTTCGGTATAGTATTTCAGTAAGATAGCCCTATACATACCTCGTCTCCAACACACATACACACAAGCACGCCTTCACAACACACATGGGGACACGTCCTTAAATGACCATAGCTGTTTATAGGACGTTAAACAAAATGAAACCAAATCAAACCTGAACTAGGATTCCATTAATCAGTACAAAAGCTAAAAAAGATCTTTTCGGAAAGGATTACATCTGATCAGAATCGATTATTTTGAAAAGAACTAAACACTTTGTGTATGTAACAAGTCGTATATGTGCTCCACTGGGAAAGTTCGTGATCGTGCACATTGTATCGTGACCAATGACCACAAACCACAAGTTTATTGCTAAAGATACTTGCAACAAAGTAGTCTGTGTCAGTTCATATCAAAACACGCTGTCAGCACAGTGCATTTTCTGATGAAGACACGCGACATTTCCATTTTGATCGAATGCAAAGATTGGTGTTGTTTTCATGAATTATTTGCTTGAGAATTCAAGTCTCCACTCCATACGGGCAAATCAAAAGACTAATATCGACATCTAAAAGGCGTTGGTGCGCACGCAACAAGTTATCATTTCCAGACATCTGAATCCCCAGACAATGCTTGAGTTCAATGTTACATAAGTTATATTGTAATTCCATGTCCATAAAATGACAGAGCGGCAAGGTAACCTGACAAATTCAACTGTTTGATAACTCACATTTCACGATAAAATTGGAATATTTTATCAGAGGCATTCTTAACGTTCGATCAAAATAACAAGGTACATTGCCAAACAGTAGGAAATTGGTAAACGCTGGAAATGTGCAATTAAAACAATTAGAATGTCACAGGTTGTATAGAAAGTAAAGGTAGTAAATATATACCAAATCTTTGAAGCAGATCGTATACAGTATTCAATGATCTCAAAGCACACACTTAGAAAACGGGACATAGCGAAAGTTATTTCCCCTAAACCCTACAGGGAGGGAATTTCGTACTTTCCGACACAATGGCATGATGGGATATATCTTGAATGTATCAATATCTACGTTTGTTGTTTAATTCACTGACATCGACACATAAATGTCGCTGATTTATTGAATTTATGTTCTCAATTTCCCCCTTAAATAATACTTCGTTACATACACTGGCTAAAACCCTTGTGAATCTGGCGTCTCGTTTTTGTGTAAATGGAGAATATAATCATATCCG